CATTACCCGAGTTCCCCCGTTCTCTTCTATCTGCAGGAGATGCTCTGTGCCAATATATGTGCCAGGCAGCTGGGAGGAACTTCATGGTGAGCCGTGGCGACCGATTCATCGATGGGACTAGGTGCAGGAAAAACAGCCTGGCAGACAAGGATGCCCGTGCTTCGTGTGTGATGGGCCGCTGCAGGGTAAAGGCTTCCAAATTCTCTCCTTGTTTATGAATTCAAGACAATCTCCCACAGTTCTCAGCCTGCATGGCCCAAAGAAGTCCGGGAGATGCCCTACTCCACAGGCCGGGCTGGCTATCCAGCAAGCGACTTCCGGTCATTTTTTTTCTCTCCCTCCTTTTCTTCAGGCGTTTGGGTGCGATGGCCGGATGGACTCCGGAAAGAAGATGGACGCTTGCCAGATATGCGGAGGAGACGGCACATCATGCGTCAACGTGAAGGGCTCTTTTACGGAGGGAAAAGCCAGAGGTATAAGCTCCGTTCTATCCTCTCTGTTGCCTTTTTTAGGGGGGGTCCAGTCCTACATACAGATATTCCTTCTTAGGACCAGAATTGGGACCGGAACTTGTGTTGCTAAGTGAGGCAGTTGTTAGTTTAATTGCTTACCGATTATAGCGCCTTTTTGGGGTGGTTGTTAAGTGAACCACCCCAGTGTTGTGGCTCTCCGGCAGCTGATGGAGCTGACAGCAGAGTTGGACAGTAGAGAGGAGGTCGGGGAGGAACTTGGGCCGGGTCCGGAGGCTGAGGAAGGCCCGGAGGAGGGCTCTGCATCGGAGGGAGAGATTGGGCCAGGGCAGGCTGGCAGCCATCAGCTTTCCCTACCTCTAAGTTACTCAAGTTGAGGTCTTCACAACCCTCTTCTCTCTCCCCGTGGCTTGCATTCTCTTTCAGAGTACACAACCTTCCTGACGCTGTCTCCTAACACAACCTCAGTCCACGTGGTCAACCGGAAGCCCCTCTTCACCCACTTGGGTGAGTCAATGGAGCCCAGCATTGGTTGGGCAGGGTGAGGGCGAGGGCCATAGAAGAACATCAAAGAACATCAACTAACCACAATTAACAGTGAGGACAATTAACCGGTGGAATCCCTTGCCTTCAGAAATTGTGGGTGTTCCATCACTAGTTGCTTTTAAGGAGAGACTTGGCGAAATATTATAGGATTTTTTAGGGGGTTGGACTAGAAGACCTCCAAGGTCTCTTCCCACTCTGTTATTCCGTTCATCCTAGCTGTGAAAATTCAAGGACAATACACCGTCGCTGGGAAAGGCCTCGTTTCTTTAAACGTCACCTACCCTGCGATCTTGGAAGACAATCGGTTGGAGTACAAGGTCTTCCTCACAGGAGATAATCTCCCCAGTTTGGAGGAGATTCACCTGGCCGGACGAGTCCAGGAAGAGACGGAGATACAGGTAAGGTGGTGAAATCACAACAGCTGAGGAGCAGGGGCTCTAAAGGCAAGGCAAGATTAGCTTAGGAAACAAAGCAAACTACCTTGGCAAACCTATGTGGGATGATGGAGCAGGTTATTCAATCGCACGCCGTCCTTGACTTACGGGCTCAGTGGGAGTCTAAAATTTCCGTTGCTGAGCGAGACAGTTAAGTGAGTTTTGCACCATTTCACCTTTCTTTCCACCGCTGTTAAGCGAATCGCTAAATATGAGTCCACAAATGCCTGGATTTGGATCGTGTGACCATGGGGGAAGGCTGTAAAGGGTCGTAAGCGTGAAAAAAAGTTTTACTTTTTTTCAGCGCCTAAACGAACGGTGGTAAGTTCAGCCCTGCCGGTATGTTCCGCGTTCCTTTTTCATCCAGGTTTACAGGAAGTACGGGAAGGAATATGGAAGTGCCACCAGCCCTGATATCACCTTCAGCTACTTTAGGCCGGGTGAAAAAGAGAGCCACACCTGGACGGCCCAGCTCAGCCAATGCTCAGTCACCTGCGGGACAGGTGAGTTTCTTAACTGTCCTTTTATTTCCTTTTCTATCTCTTTAGCTTTAGCCCCCGGGGTATTTGGGGAGCGAGGAAACATCTCAGAGAATACACAAGGTTGAGTAAACTCTTAGTAAAAACACAAGGTTGAGTAAATTGGGGCCAAGGTGCATCACATTTAAACATTTGGGGGGGAAAAAACCCCAATTTCTTTGCTCTTTTAAGGAAGCGGGTTTTTTTCCCATCTCTCTGCTATTAATTATTTTAAAGCTGGAAGGTCACAAGATGACACGGCGGCTTTAAGAGGCGCCTTCCAAAGAGAGGCTACTTTCATGTGTCCATGTTGTTCAAAAGACTGAAACTAGGAAAAAAGTGACTGATGACCGTTTTTCACCCTTACAACCGTTCCAGCGTCCCTGTGGGCCAGGGGGGTCAAAATTGGGATGCTTGATTCACTTAATAACGGTAGTGAGGAAGGCCGTAAAATGGGGACAAATTTCACCGAACAACCATCTTACGTAGCAACATAAATTCCAGGCCTCAATTGTGGTTGCACGTCGTATTATCTTCCGTCAGGCGGGGTGATTCCTTTTCCGTTGCCTTCCAGTTCCAACTCTCCTTCCGTGGGGAAACTCCCTCGCATTTACGGAGACGATGACCCCAAATTTTACTCTGCAGGCACGCTGCAAGTCCGTTACTCCTGCTTTGATCAGGCAAGAGGCGAGAAGGTGGAGGACTTTTATTGCCTCAAGAGGCCAAAGCCGCCTTCTAGGCAAGAAACGTGCGCGGTGAAACTCTGCCAACCGCGGTGAGTAAAAGCTGCTCTGGACCATTTTCGTTCAGCCCGGGCCCTTCAGCGCAGTATCCATCCGGTCTGTTGTCATCTTATGCCATCAGACTTGAAATTTTAGGCTTAGACAACCTAGAACTAAGCTGCCTTCAGCCTGACCGAAGCGTGGTACATAAAATTATCCATTACATAATAATAATTGGCAAGTATTCCTTATATTATTTATTATTGTTTATTATGAACTGTCAAACCTAATATCAAATGTCATAGGAAGAAATATGTTTACTGATCTATTCGTACGTTTACTATTTTTTTATTTCTGTATATTTGTATGTTTGTATCTTTTTAATCCTTTGTAAATAAAGTTCGGTTTTAAAATTTAAAATAAATAAATAAATAAAATTAGCCATTACAATGTCCTACCCGTCAAAGATTACTTCAGTTTCATTCTATTCTATTCTATTCTATTCTATTCTATTCTATTCTATTCTATTCTATTCTATTCTATTCTTATTCTTATTCTTATTCTTATTCTTATTCTTATTCTTATTCTATTCTATTCTATTCTATTCTATTCTATTCTATTCTATTCTACTCTACTCTACTCTACTCTACATTCTTCTCTTCTCTTCTCATGGAGCCATGGTTAGATGTAAGTAAGGAATATGCCTGTAAGACAGTAGGACGCTTCAGAGTTAGGCAGGGTTGAACAGGGACTTAAACCCAGGTCTTTCTCATCGAAATCCAAACCTCACCTTCATTACACTCCTTCTTGTACCCCACCTGCGTGCCCAGAGTCTTTTTCTGAAGACCAATCCTGGATTCTTCTTCCTTTCTTCCCATCCAGCTGGAAGAAATCACAGCTGTCCAGATGCTCTGCCGTTTGTGGCTTGGGGGTGGCCACGTGGCACGTGACCTGTGTCCAGGCCATTGACGGGCTGGAATCCACCGTGGATGAGAGGTTGTGCCCAGCCGGCCAGAAACCTCCGGCCTTCGTGCCTTGCACTGTGGACGTCTGCCCATTGGGATGGAACACGGTACGTATCTCTGGCCTTGACGTAGTCCTCGCTTTGCAGCCATTCATTTTAGTAGCTGCGATGGCCTGGTTTAGCCACTGGGCGAAGACAAGGGTTGTGTCAACTCATAAAACACCCCTACGCCTGTTTTACTAGTTGCCATAAAAAAGAAAAAGAGGTTGGAGAGGAAGGAAATTTGGAAGAGCAGAGAAGCAGTTTGGAAGTAGAAGTACATTCCAACTCTTATCTTTAAAAGATTGTAACTAAAATACCAGAGCTTTTGCCTGCTAATATATTTAATTGGAGAACGTGACTGACGACACCCAGCCTGTGAAGGTGCTCAATTGGAGAATCTGATTTATGACACACCCAGGAGGGAGGGGGAAACAGGGCCACAGGGGACTGTAAATGACAGATGCCAGAGTTGGCTTCCTACAGGGCAGTGTCAGAATGTCACCTCTAGGGAATCCTTGGAAGTTTTTTGAAGTTTGGCTCGAGAATCGTGATTCAATTAGGGCGATTGCCGGAATCCTGACAGGTTCGTTCCTAGAGGGCACTGACATTACAGACTTAACAGGACTACCCAGGGTCAGCTTTGGAAGCCACATTAGCACCTGACGCTGGTTTTGGTGTCTCCTGAAACAGGAATCGAAGTCCGGGGCTCCGGAAGAGCGAGACCGGAGTGGAAACCAGTCTGTGTACGTCTGGAGCCCCTTGGCTGGGAAGTGTCCCGTCTCCTGCGGAGGAGGTGGAGATATTTAACCTGGATTCCTTGATCATTGATCCGGTTTCAGTGTCTGATCCAGGGAGGGAGGGAGGAAGGGAGGAAGGAAGGAAGGGGAAAAAGAAGGAAGGAAGGGGAAAAAAAGGAAGGAGGGAGGGTTGAAGAAGGAAAGGAGGAAAAGGAAGGAAGGAGAAAAAGAGGGAAGGAGAGAGGGTTGAAGAAGGAAAGGAAAGGGAGGGAAGGAGGAAGGAAGGAAGGAAGAAAAGAGGGAAGGAGGGAGGGTTGAAGAGGGAAAGGGAAGGAGGAAAAGGAAGGAAAGGAAAAAAGGAAGGAGGGAGGGTTGAAGGAGGAAATGAAAGGAAATGAAAGGAAGGGGAAGGAGGAAAGGAAGGGAGGGATGGAAGGAGGGAGGATGGAAGGAAGGAGAAAAAGAAGAGAGAAGGAGGGAGGGTTGAAGAAGGAAGAAAAGGAAAGGAGGAAAAGGAAGGAAGGAAGGGCAAAAAGAAGAGAAAAGGGGGGAGGGTTGAAGAAGGGGAGGAGAGGAGAGGGAGGGAAGAAAGGAAGGCCTAAGGCCGTAGTTCTCAATCTTGGCCCCTGTAAGATGGATAGACCTCCAACTCCCAGAATCCCCCAGCCAAGAGAAAGTCATGTCCGCCGGGTGTATGACAGCATCTGAAGAAACAATCCTGCTCAGGACAAGCGAAGGACATTCACACCCACCCACTGCTCCTTCCCACAGGGCGGATGTTGCTGAGTTACGTCTGCTTGGCTTTTGACACTAAAGAGGAAACAGAGGAGAGGCTCTGTAACCTGACGCAGAAACCAGCGAGCCGTCTCGAAATTTGCAACCCTGAGCCATGCCCACCAAGGTAAGGGTGTGTATGTGCGTGTGTGTGTGTCTGCAGACCTTCCCCCTTATACGGGACGTCCTTGAGTTACGACCGTGGAATGGAACCCGCCGATTGCGGTCGTAAGTCCTGACAGTTGCCATCAACCCCACGGCCGAAGGGATTTGACCCCCGTTCTTGTTTGAGGGTGTTAAGTGAAATAATAATAATAATTTTGGCAACCGGGGTGTGCAATGGTGATACTCCCTGGCTAGTTCCCAACAAGCAAAGTCCACGGGGAAGCTGGGTTCGCTTAACGACGGCTTAAGAACAGCCGTGGCCGAAAAGTCTGTTAAAAGAAAAAAGGCCAGGTGCATTTTGGGTAACAACTGCCTCCTTGTTTAGCAACGGAGCGTCACTCTGGTCTTTGGTTGTCATAAGTTTGAGGACTTCCTGCGCCGGACCAGACTTCGAGTCCTGGAAGACCGGTTCCCCCCCCCCCCAAAAAAAAACAGGGGCACAGGGCTGCTGCTCCTCACCTGGATTCTGCCTCTCTCCTTCCCACTCAGGTGGTTTTACAAGCAAGGGGCGTGCAGCGTTACCTGCGGCGAAGGGGTCATGCGCAAAATCTTATACTGTGCGCGAGGGGCTGAGGAGGAGGAAGAGGAGGAGATCCTGCCCGACGCAGCCTGCGAAGACTCGTCGCGTCCCCAAGAACAGGAAACCTGCCACCTGGAGCCTTGCCCAGCCAGGTTATTTGCTTTCTCCTTCTTAATTGGGGGGCAGTGGGGGGGTTTAGCAAGCCGTTTTCCCCCTCTCGCCATCCGAGTGGTGGGACTGGGGTTGGCCAACGAAGGTGCGGCCAGCAGATTTCGATCAACGGTGTCCACAGACCTGGCAGCAATCAACAAAAATTCACACAGAAAAGATTAGAGGAACCATGCTATTAAAAAATAAAGATTTTTTTTAAGTAATATAGAATATACAGTATAATTGGCTAAAAAAAAGTGGCGGGGGGAGTAAAACTGTTTAGTGAAAACGACTAGAAACTCTAAATAATAGATGATAGACGATTGCCACGGTCTTTCCTGTCCCTTCAATGTTGCTTTCTCTCTCCCTATATGAACAAAAACAGCTGGAAGGTGGCTGAGCGAGGGCCTTGCTCCTCTTCGTGTGGGCTTGGCGTCTCCACCCAATCCGTGTCCTGCGTGAGGCTTTCGGGAGGCTTTCGGGAGGTGGAGGTGGCCGAGGGCCAGTGCTCCGAAGCGGAGAAGCCCCTCTTGGTCGTGCCCTGCATTCTCCGCGTCTGCCCTTACGAATGGGGGTTCACCCAGTGGACGAAGGCAGGTACCCCTGTTTGCCACAGCGGGCGACCTTCGGGCGGTCCGCAGGAAGCTGAGATGGAGACCACGCTCAGCTTCCTACCGTAACTGAGCCTGCGGTTTCGGGAGTTAAGTCGTGACCGTACAAAAACAGGCTCACCGCGGGCCCAATTTTTTTTTTTGCCATGGTCATTGTAAAGCAAACACGGCCGTCGTAAAGGGAATCCATTTTTATGGGGCATCTTTTGGGCGGAAACCGGAAATATTTCATAAATGGAATTCACGCAACTGTGTAAATGCACGCCAGTTACAAGCCCCCGTATTGGGGGGGCAGGGGGGGGTCACGTGAGCAGAGGGTATGGGGTTCCATGGCAAGGGTGGGCTGCTGGGTGGGGGCTCAGGAGAGCCCCCAACTAAGACTCTGTGGGGCTCAGAGAGCCCCCAATAACCTCCGAAAGACAAGCAGCCGGGGAAGGCGCTTAATAGGCTTAATTGAACTTCTGGGCATTCAGCCAAGAGCATTTCACACCTGGTAAAAGTCTTGCAAGCTAGATGAACAATCCAGGGCCAAGAAAATAGCATAGAAGTAGTCCTTTATTTATAACCGGTAAGCGATCGGTTGTAAAATCGAGGAGGTATCTGTCATCTCTGCTTCTCTCCTTCCAGTGCTCTGTCTCCTGTGGAACCGGCATCCAGAGACGGCAGGATTTCTGCGTCAACCCCCAAACCAAGACCCGGGTCAGCCCTCTCTTGTGCATGCATGTTCCTAAACCCATGATGGTGAGAACATGTTCCCCCACCTCCTGCCTCGAACAGGCCACGATGAAGTCAGATCTGCAACCAGGTGTCCCTACAACAACCCAGCCTTCAACGGCAGGGCTCCTGACTCCTCCTCCTGAGGTCGCTCTTCCTCTCAAAGGATGGCAGGACCAGGCCTTCGATCGTCTGTGGTCCAAAGGAGAAGATCCTCAGAAGGAAGAAACCAAGGGAGATATCGTGGAGGAACCCAGTTACGTAGCAGGGCTAGTTACTACGAGGGCTTTAATCCGAGGCAGGATTTGCGTCCTGGGGAAACAGGACTGGGCTGGGTGGGAAAATCCAGTAAAATGCGGCTGCAAGAAAACCGCTGAACTCAGACCACCAAACCATACATTCTCCTCCTCCTCCTCCTCCTCCTCCTCCTCCTCCTCCTCCTCCTCCTC